TTTGTTTTGTTCAATTATCTAAAAAAAAAGTAATAATTTATTTTATTTTTTTTTTGGGGGGGGAGGGTAGGCTTCGGAGCGTTAATAACCAGGGAGAAGGGGATTTGGTAGTGGGTCATACCCGAGGAGTATTGGTGGTTTGGGGTCAAGGCGTTATTTAGAGTTCATTATACCCTGGTAGTAAATCTGGCAGTTGGTAATTTAAGGGGGGGGGGTAAATTGGGGGGAAATTTAGGGGGCGGTGACCGGTTGGGGGGGGGGGACATTTCATTACTCGGTTGTTGGTTGCTAATTCCGTATCTTGTTTCCAACTTGGGGTCACTACTCGGTCAATTTGTTTCATTCAATTATCTAACAAAAAAAGTAATAATTTATTAATTTTATTAATTTAATTTTTATTTTTTTTTGGGGGGGGGAGGGTAGGCTTGGGAGCGTTAATAACCAGGGAGAAGGGGATTTGGTAGTGGGTCATACCCGAGGAGTATTGGTGGTTTGGGGTCAAGGCGTTATTTAGAGTTCATTATACCCTGGTAGTAAACCTGGCAGTTGGTAATTTAAAGGGGGGGTATAAATTGGGGGAAATTTAGGGAGCGGTGACTGGTTGGGGGGGGGACATTTCATTACTCGGTTGTTGGTTGCTTATTCCGTATCTTGTTTCCAACTGCTAATTCTGTAAACAGTATGTTGAGCATAAAAAATAAAGAAAAAACAGTGAATGTACCGGGTACACTTAAATCAGTGTCTTCGTCTATTTTTAGGATTGATGTTATTTCAAGGTACATGAATTATAATAATGTCCAAAAAATCCATATCCCAAAAATAATCCAATGTATTGACTCAGTTTGTTTTTTATAAGTTGGTATGGACCGCCTTAACAGCCGGGCATACATAAATAAGTCTGCATGAAGTATTAGTCGGTGGTTGCTAAGGTGATATTGTGAGTTGTATTGTGATTCTGTATGTGAAATAAGGTTAAAATTCAACCCGAACTTCAACACCCATTTTCCCATACACTACGTATTGCAGCTCTTGAACTTTGAAAAGCCGTATCTCAAAAAATATACCACCGATACGAGTCAACTATATTTTATTTTAAAGCTCTAAATGCAAGCAATTCAATGGTGTAAAAATCTCCCTTATAAAAAAAAGACTTCTGCCTGGTTTTGGGGTGGTGGGTCACATATCTGAAAGATTTGCTAATACAGAAATAATGTCAGCCTTTGCAGCGTTTTTGGAAACAGCCAATTACTCGGATCCAGATAAGCTGCAGGAGTTGTCCAGTTGTGTTTCCAAATTAAGCCACCAGTTTGGAGTCAACGATGAATCAGCGCAATCTGATCTACTTGACTTTGTCCATCATGTTCAGTCTGGAATCCTGAAAGAACTGTCACTGTCAGTAGCACATGCATTAACTTTCCTGAAATTTTCAACCACATTTGCAAGCTTATCAACTCTTGCAAAAGCATACAAAGTACAGCCTCCTCACACAGCCGACTGCGAGAGGGATTTTTCTCGGATGGGTTTAAGAAAGACAGAACTAAGGAACAGAATCGGACAAGATACCTTAGACTGCCTGATGCGCATTGCAATAGAAGGCCCGGATATTGCATCATTCCCATTTACCAAAGCAGTGAAACAATGGGCTACAAAGAAAGAGAGGCGCTACAAAGTTAAGCTTATCTAAGGTAAGGGTACACAAATGTGCTTACAAAACCATCATTTGATTTTTTCTTAATTCTGCTCATTAATCTAAATACTGATTTAGTATAAAAAACAAAACAAGCTGTTTGTGACATAGGCCTATTGTTATCAGAACGTTTTTATTTAATGCTAAATATAGAGTGTGCTTTACATTGACTGAGACATGTTTAGTATAACGTCAAAATGGCAGTACTATAAATGATAAGTTTTTTGGCAGATTGGTCATGTTAGGCCATGTAGGCTTTGTCTGTTTGAAGTGGATTTTAAAATCATGACAATCTCATTTGTCCCAATAAATCATGTTATTCATATTTTTGCTTTCACCACAGTTATGCTAAATGGCCAATATTGACCAACCAACATATTCAAGAAGTGAGAGAGCCAGGAAGCAGATCAAGTATAAACAACTGAACAACGGCCCAGATTTCCCCAAGGAACAAAAGGAAATTAAAACGTGGTCCACAACTAAACTGTACCCGCTGGTTATAGTGGACTCGAAAGACATTGACGGCAAGCTTTTTGTCAAGGTACACTATACCGACGAAGAGTGGAACTCAACAGTGTACGACACATGGAGAGAAGCATCAGAGATCGTTGACGTGCCTGAATTTTATTTAACATACACACCAGAGCTGAAGGCTCTCTTTGTTGATCAACTGAAAACGTCAATTAAGGTAAATTTGCACGGCCAACGTTAAGTTGACAGCGCCGTTAAGATTGACTTAAGCATCCCTAAGAACTTGTTTGAGGACATTGCCACCCTGTGATGTGAGAGTAGGGGTTCTTGCCTAACCCTTCAGTCAACTGCTGACTTTAACTGCTTACTTGGCGAAGACTGGCACTGGAGAGTTTTTAATTCCATGGGAGATGTTTCCTTCGTCACACCTGGTACTGTCACATTTTGGATGAAAGAGAAGGAGACCACTGGAAGAGTATTCACCAGAGGGAGTACTGATACTAAAGCACCGGGGGTTTCGTTTTCACTTCAGATTTGCCCGTGGTATTGGGAACAAGTTTGATTTCCAAAATTTCTTTTAACATATTTGCTGTACTGCCATCATACAACACATGATTTCCATTTTTTGTGCTTAGATAGATCTCTCTCATAGGACGCCATCTTCGTAGGGAATTTTCAACTGCGTGTTCAACGCAATCAGCTGGGTGTGCGCACATTGTGCAAATATGTTCTAAATGGCACATGTGTTGCTTGAAATTTATCCACAACACGGCGCAGCCAGTGTACGTCTTGAAAATTTGACGCCCAAAATTTGGATGCACCTGGCAATCTGTTAGAAGTGACGTCATTTGAGAGAGACCTATTGCTTTGTTTTTATTATGTTATGCATTTATTGTGTTCATGCACAGTGTACGTAGACATGTAGTGTAGTTTTATATTGTAAAGATGGGCATAACCAGCAGGTAATTTCCACAAATCTTAATCAGAAATTTCAATTAATGTCTTTGTGATCTAGGACATACATTGTATTTAAACTGTTTTCACTCTTTCCACTGGCCACCTTCCTCCAATTTGTTCAGAATGGATAAGTTTGGAACTTTTCTTATTTTTGTTCTGGGATGCTTTTGCATGGCCCGTGCTGTTTATGCCACTCCTGAGGAAACTTCTCACGTCCAAATTGATGTCAGTGAGATTTTTTTGTTCAATTTGATTAAGGATGTCAATGGCCACTTGACTCAAGAACATCTGAGCACTGTATAGATGCGTATTATGACTCGATACCACCTTTCCCCTGACAAATTTAGCTTGAATTGCCTGAAGGCATTGGAAAGTAAACTTGGCCGATTGTGGCGATTGTGGACATCCAAAAAGGGCTCATGTACACAGATGCCACAGGGTCAGCTTGAAAAAAAACGGAACTGGGTCTGCTTGAAAAAAAAACGGAACGGCTGCTTGAAAAAAGGGAACTTTTTTGTGTGTGAAAAAGCCACTCCGTGTCCGACCAAGGTCCCATTGTCATCTTTATCTTGTAGCCAAGCCAAGTTCTGTTTATTTTTCAATTTTGCTTCTATGGCCTTTAAAGCTGTCGGTTCGTTCAATCACTTTGACTTTTTCCATATTCCTAATATTTATTCTGCCTACCCGAATTTCCAACGTAATATTCGACACGAAACATGCACGATTCCACAACACTGCTGTCGGTGTACATGATCCTTGCACTACGCGATGCGCTCAACGAAAACATGGTTGGTACCCGCATTTTTTGTATTCACAAATATCACAGCGATCAGAAACCACCGATAGCTGAAATGATAGACTTGATTTCCAGGCTGAATGCTACGTGTGCCTAGCACACAACACGCCCGCACGCGGTGAAGCACGCGCGAGGCGCCGTTGTATACTGCGTGCAATCACGTCTGTACGTTGGCCGCTTGTATCGCATGCAGGCTCGGCAACAACATACACAAAGACTGTTTTTAAGATTACTTCAACGAACAACGTTGTGCCCTGCGTGCGCCTAAATGTACTAAATCGAGGTAAAAATCAACGCATTTCCACAGTTTTTCTTCTCATTTTCTGGTTAATTTGACGGCCGGAAAAAACAGAATTTTGTGAGATTTTTTTTAAAAACCAGAATTCTGGTTAAAACCGGAATTCTGGTTAAAACCGGAAAAGTGGCAGCTCTACATGTAGTAGGGCCAATTTGTTGAATAAATTTGAAAAGTCAACATACGCACTGAATGTTAACCATAAAACTGGAAGTCCCAGAAAACGGAAATTAGAACAGGGAGTGGAAGATGGGAAATCCAAAAGAAGTAAGTTGGAAAACAGTTTAAATGAAATGGACCAAGAACTGAGCAAGTGTAAGGACGCAAAACATGAGGCTGAGCGAAAATTAGAAAGACTCTCGAACCCCCAAAAACGTAAAAGAGGTGAGCGGGGAAGAAGCAAAGGTAAAATTGAATACAGTAAGAGTCAAAAGCGCCGTCACAAATCCAAAAAAATGGAGGAAGTCAAAACACTGTTTGGAAAAGAGCAAGGGTGGATCCAGGGGGGGGGGGGCCAAAGGGGGCCATGCCCCCCCCCCCCCCAAGAAAAAAAAACGAAACCATTTTTTAAAATTGTTTGTGACATCGCAATAAAGGCAGGCAATGAGTACACCACCATCTTTTTCCTCAAAAAACATTGGTTAAAGTGGTCAGAAATTGCCTCAGATCGCACCACAGAGCATCTAGAATCCAAAAAAATTTGGGGGCCCTTAAGCGGGCCCCGAACCCCACGCCGTCATTTTTTGACCCACTTTTTTGGGGGACCCAGATTTTTTTGGGCCCCCCCCCCCCAAATTGTGTTCTGGATCCGCCCTTGGAAAAGAGTTTGTAAGTGTAGAATTCAAAAATGAAGATGGGCAGATTGTGCACTGCCAACCCACTCTAACTGATGCTGACTGTTTTGCTCTGCTGATGATTCGTGGCTGAATGCGTAATAATGGCATTTCTTTTTAATCCTATACCGCTTGTCAGTTTCCAAGGTGGTTACAAAAGAGGATTTTTTTCATAAACCGCTAACAAAAGAGCGAGGCATTGTGACTCGAAAACCCATCATGCTTTTGATTTGCAAGCTTCCGATTTGCTGGCAAGTCAGAAGAACAGCAGAGCACCCAGAACTGTAAAGACTTCTCCCGATTGTCTTGCCTCGGACCCTAGCCCACAGTATTTTCATTCATTTATGTATGAGCGGCTGTTAGAAATAATTGAGTGAAGAAGGCTCCCTCTTAAGCAGAGGAATTATCCAAACTACATTTGTACGATGGCATTTTCTTATTTGAGACGTATACTTCTCTGTGCAGGTAGGTTTAGAATAGTCAGGTAAATAAGACCTGATGTACAGTACATATATTCCACTCCTGTGCATCTTTAACAAAAAGTTATCTGGAATGCGATGGACTTTCTATTTTTACAAGCGTCCAAAAAGCCTTCGCGCTGCATCATGTTTTCGATACTCTTTATACAATAAACCTTTCCACAGAAATTCAAAACAAGACTTACATACCTGCCTTGAAGCAAGGAAACAGGGGATAGGGCTGAGTTACATGCACCAAACCTGAACAGAGTCATGGGCTGGGAAGGCTGCTACATCAGAACAGGAACTGGACAGGATCAGGAACTTTTGTATGCAGCAGCAACATGAATGACAGTGCTTCAAACACAATCTGTTTTAGAAAAGAAAGACGACACAAATTAGCAGTAATCATCAAATAATAAAACACAAATAAACACACCCTGATGACACACATAAGGCCAAAAAAATGCTTCTGCTTCTGATTACATGGCATTCAAAAGAAGGGTAGGTAGGTATGGATTTTTGTTGGGGGGGAGTGGCATTTGGGGGCTTCTGCGTGTAGTCAAGGGTAAAAGGTAGATTTTGATGTTTTTGGGTGTTTTTAATAATTTTTCCCATAAAAGAAATTAGTAGGGACTGTCAGAAAAGGGTACATGTAGGTAGGGAAACCGGAAACAGAACTACAATATTTTTTTGGCCTAAACAATATTTTACACATAGGGCCTACACAAGGTATACATGTACATGTAGGTAACATCTCCAGCTCTTGACAAACTTAGTGCTTGGATTGAAAGTCAGTGTTTCATGGGCAGGAAGGTAGGTTCATTGTACTCACACAAATGGCATTCTCATCCCTAGGGGGTGTGCAAAATCATATTAAAATTGGAGGATTCAGGACTGTAAGGGCTAAAAAAAAATAGGCAGTGCACATTTCACTGTGAACTGGTCCCTTTTCTGCAATCTTGTTCAATCAGTTTCACTGTCGGCTCAGTGAATATTTTTGGAGACTTATAAATTTGACCACGAGGAACCTCTGTTTCCATGCTGACATTGTTGTTGTGATTTCATATTCACAGGACAGAAATTGGATCTACATAGTCATTTGCAATTTCATGTAGTACCAGTCCTGATTTGAAAATCATAGGCGTGTGTAAAAAGGCACACCTGGATTTTTCTAGGCGTGTGGTTTTTCTAGGTCAGGTGTGTGGTTTTCTAGGTGTGTGATCTGTGGTCCAGGGAAATTCAGGCGTGCAATTATTCACACTTCTCGGGAAGCTTTTTGGTGTGCGATGGTGTGGAGGTGTAATCGCATGCCTCAAATCAGAAGGACTGATGTACTGGTACTTCCCCCATAAAGATAGAAAATTCCACAATTAAAAACCAGGATTTCATTTGAAACAAATGCAGAAAATGTGTACCGGTAGGGCCTACTTCTGCAAAAATGAGCAAATAAACAAATGTAAAGTACATTGAATAGGTCTCAAACTGCATGTATATAGCAGACGCGCAGTCCTAACGAGCCACATTCTAAGTTTGTTAGGTTGGAACTATAATTATCTTAATGACGTAATATGTACACTTAAACGCGCCCTTTTCCAGAAGAATTGCCTGCACAAAAGCCAGACTGGTTCATAGTATGGAACGCCAAAGAGGCATTTAATGTGATCATCGAATCGGTGATGCACTTTTGCAATCGGTGATGCATATTCACAATCAGTGATGGACTTCTGCGACCGATGAACAACTTTTACTGGTGATGCATATTCACGAGCGGTGATGGACTTTCGTGATCGATGGACTTCTGCAATCGGTGATGGACTTTCGCGATCGGTGATGGACTTTTGTGATCGGTGATCAGTTTTGCAATCGGTGATGGACTTTTGCAACCGGTGACCAACGACCGGTGATCGCAACTTTGATCACCGATCGCGAAAGACCATCACCATAAGTCCATCACCGATTGCAAAGTATCACCGATCACGAAAGTGCATCACCTATTAAATGCCTCCGTTGGCGAAACAAGAACGCCAAAGAGGCATTTAATCGGTGATGGACATTTGCGATTAGTGATGGACTTTCGCGACCGTGTTATCAGTTTGGCTATGAGTTGTTGTGTATTGCTTCTTATCATGATATCACTGACTTGTAAAAACTGGAGCACTTTTTACAAATTTATATAATTTGTAGATTTTATTAAACTAGTTAATGCATTAAATTTAATGTGGCCCTTGCAAATATGCAGAGACTTGTTTTGCTCTTCTAGTTTTTCATGCCTTTCGCTAAAATCTGAGTCACTTCATTAAGATGTAATTGCCGATGGAATTTTCGAACCATTTGTTGGGCATCAATTAGTGATTTTAGCTAAATAATATTTATGTGGCCATTGCAAATGTGCAAAGACTTAGTTTGCTCTTCTAGTTTTTCATGCCTTTCGCTAATGATCTAAGTCACTTTATGAAGAGTACGTGGAATTTTCAAATCATTTTTTTTTTGCATCAATTAGTAATTTTAGCTATAAAGACGCAATTAAATTTATGAAGAAATTCGAATTGGTCCCAATGTACAATATATACGCTTCCTTTATTACAGTTGAACACAGTACTATTGAAAACTGTTAATGGGTTAAAGACTGATGGTTGAACTTCAATTGCTTCAACCGTTGAAGCAATGTTTGAAAAAATGAAGGTTTGATGGAAGGAAGGTTTAATATGCTCGGGGTGTTCCCAAAATTGGGTGTGTATTAAAGTATGTGTTGTTAATAACTTAGACACTGTCACACTGGGAATGGGGATAAAACTATGGTCAAATGTGCAGTGCCCTAGCAGTAGCAAAATGAATTATAGTACACTAGGGACACGTTTTGGTCTGGAGTTGGGACAGGTTGCTATGGGAACCGCCACCCAGCCTGGAAGAGTGGTGTAAAACAACAAGGTCGTTGAGGGATCAGGGATGAAGTCAAGGGATCTTACACTAAATTGTACACCTTGCTCTATGGTCTAAGCTAAATGATTATTGTACAAAATAAAGACAAAACAGAAGAAATTGAAAATAATTCACAACGCGTCCACCACAAGCTATTATCGTTCATTTATATAATATAACCTGGATGCAGAGTTTTTAATTGCTTACATTTTTAATGTGTCAATAGTCCGTGGTATGTTCTTCTACAAGAGTTTAGATTTAGATTATTATTCATTTTTTTCCCATTGTGTGGTTGGGTAAAATGGGTTGATAATTCGACCAATGATGGTCGAATTTTCAACTGCCTATACTCTAGTCTTGGTCAAATTCTTCCCAATAGTTTGACAGTTTCTGATGTAATTTCATACCAATGCTGTGTAAATTACATTGCCCAACAGTGTTTTATCCAACTTTTATACAGTGTACATTGTGAGAAGATCTGTTGTTTTGCCCCTCTGACGAGATTACCAACATTGCAATTCTCTGCAAATACCCTCCTATCAACTTTCACTACTTCATTATGATTCATAAGGTTTTCTTCCTGACTAACTTAGTTTTATCACCCGTCTGTTTGGTCATTATCCTTTTGTGGTTTGCCCAGGAATGCGAGGCACAGCAAACATCAAGTGGACTGAGGTCAAGCTCAAGAAATATCAGTTTTGGTTTGGCCACCAGAACACACGGTATAAAGTTTCTTAAAAGGGAAGGGTTTTTACAGCACTAGTGCGCTCTGTTGTCATGGATCAAAATCGGTACTCTTAACTCATATTCCACGATACAGTTGACTGGAAGTTGTTAAGTTTATAACCCCCCCCCCCCCCCCCTACACACATGTCACATACCTACAAATAATCATGTTTTTTTTCCTTTGCTCGGGCTTGGCCTCCTATCGGATAAATCACCTGTTATAGGCTCGTGTTGAGCTAATTGGCTTATATTTTTATTTCCTTGTAAACATAACAAAAGAGAAAGAACTGAGCTCAATTATGGCACTTGACGCGTGGAAATATGAACTCAACTGTGCGTTTACATTCCAATCTTATGGTAAAGTATTGTAGCCCTTGCTTGTATGACAGCTGTTTTTTTATTTTTTTGAAATTGAACATGTCATAGAGCCAAGACGAGTCATCAGTATTGTGGCCGAGCTTGTTTAATTGTGGAGTGCAAACAAACAGAAAATACATTCATTATTTAACCCAAATGGTTACATATTCTTTCACTAATGAATAATGATTCACTGGTGTGCAGTCTTTTTAATTTTTGTTTTGGGGTACTTACACATCAGAGTTTTCAAAAGAAAACATTGAATAACGTTTGGGGGAAAAAAAAGAAATAAAATTTCCCAATAGCACTTCACCCCAACAGTAATCTATACCGACAAAATGACCGCAAAGGCCACATTAATGCATTAACTAGTTAAAAAAATCTACAAATGATGTAAATTTGTAAAAATTGCTCCAATTCTAAAGTCGGTGATTTCATGGAGCTAGGAACTGATCAATCAGTGTGATAAATGCAAATGTCTGATCAGACGTAACACACAACAACTGATTGCAAAACTGATCACACGGTCGCGAAAGTCCATCACCGATCGCAAATGTCCATTACAGATTGCAAATGTCCTTCACAGATTGCAAAGTCACCGGTCGCAAAAGTCCACCACCGATTGCAAAGTTGATCACCGATCGCGAAAGTCCATCACCAATTGCAAATTTGATCACCGGTCGCAAAAGTCCATCACCGATTGCAAAGTTGATCACCGGTCGTGCAAGTCCATCACCGATTGCAAAGTTGATCGCCGATCACGAAAGTCCATCACCGATCGCGAAAGTCCATCACCGATCGCGAAAGTCCATCATCGATCGCGAAAGTCCATCACCACTCGTGATGCATCACCAGTAAAAGTTGATCATCGGTTGCAAAAGTCCATCACCGATCATGATCACATTAAATGCCTCTTTGGCGTTCGATATCATAGTAAGCCTGACTCACTCACTTCTCTGGAATCCTGCAAGGACGTGGGGGGGACGTGACATCTGCTGAAATTGACAGCAGTCTCCAGCATGATCTGTCCTTCATCTGCTGACAGACAGTCAGTATGCATGGTACATGTACATGTACATGTACGCCCAGTGCTGTCAGCTCCTTGATGTTGTCAGGCCAGCTTTCCCTCTAGCTGTCTTCCTCTCTTTCTTCCTCCTTGTATAATAATTAACAAAGTATGCCTAAAAATACAACAACAAAAATTAAATTTGAAAATAAATATTTTCTCGTCTTATCTTTTTGAAAAGAAAAAGATGTGGAAGCTGCTTTGATAGCCAATGGTCTGTTTTTTCAAAATATCCACTGCTTTTGTGGGATTTTGTTTCAAGACATTGGATATATTGATTTATTCGGTTGAGTACCTGGACGAATTAGAATAAATCTGCTTTATCATTGATATGTAAATGGGACACGGTAGAGTGGTTAAGGGCGGGTAATTTGAATAGGGAGTGGCACAGGAATGTGTGCGTGGTTAGATTGAAGGTAGATTACTTCACGCATGCGAGCAGCAACGACAACACACAATTTTTAACACAGTTGTTAAGTCTGGTTGTAATTTCATAGTTGTTCAATGTCTCAAACAGTATTTATAAGAGACGAACATTGCTACCCTTGCCTGAAGGAGCTGTTTTGCATAGTTCAGGTGTACGTTTCCATTTTTCCAAAAATGGTTTTGGTTTTTCGTATCTGGCAGTCAACACAGCAATGTTAGATGGGGTACAAATCCAGAAACAGCCATAATGTAACGGACGAGTGGTATCTTGCGATTATTCAATTAAGTATGGCTAAAGGCTATGAAGCCTAAAGGAAAGTTTTGTGAAGCTTAAAGGTTCAAATGAAATCCACAAGTGGCAATCAAGGTATGGTCCGAGTAGTTTCTGACGGAGGTATAAAACGAGATTTGCAGTTTGGCAGTAAGATTCATAAAGATCAGATCTACATGTACTAGATGAGATGTTAGAATTGTACTAGCGATCTAATGCGTTAAGAACACAAACAAGTCTGAATAGACTTGCACCATAGTATGCGTGATTTATCCGCAGCGGAAGGTATTTGGTATTATACAAAACCAAAAAAGATAGTTCTGAAAAGCTTGCCTTAATATAATATCAAATGTGGTATGAATATTCAGAAATAACCATAACAATTGTAAAGAGGAGAGAAGTCTCGAGGTTAATTCTATTATTGATTACGCAAATATGCTAAATGAAAGGCTCTTACGCCTAAATGATAGACCCTAGTTCTGTAATATTGTCTCCATCAAGACGTCTTTAAGGTTCAAATTATTGAATGATGAATTAAAACACTGTCATACCTGGTAGTCATCACAGCGATGACACTAAACATAATATCAAATGGGGTACGAATAATTAGAAATAATCATAACAATTGTAAAAACGAGTGTTGTCTCAGGTATAAGTCTGTATAATTAATTGATTACTTAAATGTGTCTATAATGAAAGGCTCTTACGCCTAGTTAACAGATGATAGTTCTGTAAATACTATCAAGTCTTTAAAAGTTCGAATTTTTGAAAGATGTAATTAAAACATTGGGTCGGCGTACCCGGTTGCTGCTGGGCAATTCCACGGTAACGGAAGGACGTTTTCACTCATTAAACAAAATTTCAAATGTGTGTATCACAGACACTGTTCATAGTTACAGCAAACAAATGTCACATTTGTATTGCTATAATGCTACTTTCATTTTCCACACTTTTGGGGGGCATGAATGCCTCCCGTTTATGAATTATGAATATTAATGAGGTCGGTAACGGAAGGACGGTAAAACGGACAAGGGTTTTCCAACTTACTCGCGTTTTGCAAAAACTCTGTGAATTTTATGGGGCAATTATATTTTAAAGGTAGGAAATGGAATCCCTGAAGCTTTATCTATACTATACCACCTTTCATTTGACTTTAAGTGTTTTGGTTATATAATTACAACGTTTTAAGCAGATTATAATTTGGTAACGGAAGGACGGTAACGGAAGGACAAAAGGTTTACTCAATTATAGCACGAACAAAATGTGAATTTACACTAATTATACAAGTGAAACAAATTGCTTAAATGTGTAACTGAATGTGAAATCAACAATATGCAGACCTGGCATAAATAATTATACCCAAGAAACTATTGAGATAAAGATAGAAGCCTGCTAATTAATGATAACAAAAGAAAAACGAAAACAACCCAAAACACATAAATCACGAACACAGGACTACTACAGAAATAGATTTCAAACCCATCACCTCAATCCTTAAAAGTTTAAATACACAGTATTTGAACACTTGAGTATATTGGTTACATGTTCACCAACAACTTTTAATAATAATACCGGTAGGTTCAAAGGTTTACCTAAAGGGTGGGGGGGCGACCAGCCTACATGTACATTTAACATGTTTAAGGTAAAAACATCTACCGGTAGAACTGATGGCTTCAGTTAGGTGTTGCTTTTAATTGAACTCTAAAATCAATGTTTGAAATCAAATTACAACGATTTAGAGTAGTAGGCCTAACAATTAATTTATAAACATCCAAACTGAAGTTGTTAACTTGGGCATAATTTGTCAAAGACTGCACCTCACATGTCTTACACGTGTAAATTGAATGAAAGTGCCCCAAAGTACCGGTACTTTCTGCCATCTCATTTTTGACTTAATTTGCTTCTGGAATGGCTTCACAGAATTCGTATCCTTCTCTATTGTCCATGAATGCTGATGGCAGCAACTTTATGATTTGATTTTCTACAACAACTCCATACATGTATAAGTACTGATACATCGGCATATATGTACATGTACATTGTACATGTTGTACATGCCTGTGCCTTCCTTTGTAATAAACACCTTGCCCTGCTTATCCCGCTTTTGTGAAGGTGGGTCACATGAATGTCCTTTCAATGCTCATTATACATGCATGTATTTGCAGTGATTTTCATTTTTCAAACATGAGCGCAAATGTCGTAACATTTGATAAAAATACGATTTGTCCTTCCGTTACCGTCCTTCCGTTACCAATTTGGTAACGGAAGGACGTGATTTAATTAATTGTAATTAAAAAACGAGAAGTACAGCAGTGTCAGTTATAATGTCATATTGAAGGCCTACCTAAACTTGCTTTGCACAATAACTTTCAATGCATTCATACTGCAAGTTTTAAAAATAAATTAAAAATATGTATTTTTTCGGTAACGGAAGGACACTTTCGAAGGCTGAAATATTAGAAGTCACTGAAGCGAAACAAATTACGCAAAATGTTAAAAACAAGTTTTAGTCGGTTTTTCAAGACCAATACTTTCTCATGACAGAAACTGATGGCATTAGTACATATTTTTGTGTGTGTTTTGGTAGAATACTTTCATATCACTATTAATCACATTTTTAGGATTAAAACAGGATTATTACATAATCCTAGTTTTTGGTACCGAAATGTATAAAAAATAAAATTCCGACTTCAAATCTTGAAAATATAGACTTTTAGCTTTCATTTGATGCCAAATTTGTTTAAGTCACATGTATTTGAATTTTTTGGTGTCATGTCCACTTTGGTGTGGAATTGCCCTGCTGCAAGCACAAATACCAAAATCAGGATGATTTGATTGTTTATTGTGTAGAATGGTGTTGAAATGATAAGCTGATTTTCTGAGAATTAGCATTACTTTTCTAAGACCAGCTTATTGAGCTTAACAACCTCAAAATGGGTACTTTCAGGGCTCCACATTAACTTTTTTGGTCACTAGACAGTCGGGCTACTGAAACAGACTCTTATCTAGCCTGCAGACATTTTCACTAGCCCGCATGTTTTTCTTTTGTAGAGTGTACAGGTTTGCTCTCTGAATATAATAATTTTATTCTTTGTCCTTTCATCTTTGCCGTAGCCCAATTCTGGACCCGCCAGCCGAGCTACTTCAGGAAAAGTTTGACTAGCCCGCCGCTGTTTTGACTAGCATTTGGCTAGCAGCCTACCACTGAAGTCGAACCCTGCAACTATAAAAATTACACAGATCATGACCTCGTGTTGTCAGGGGCGCGGCGCGGCCAACCATACAAACACAAGGTCATGATCTGCGCAATAAAAATTCTGAGAGCTCACCTCGCGATCGATCGCAAACACGTTAAATTTCTGACTCGTGTTTGGACAATGGGTGTGGACGTAAGTGCCCAGCATTCATTTGATGGTCCCAGCGTGATTTCTCGGAATTGAACAGGAAATTTCACTTTTTATCCGACTCGTAAGCAAACTTTGGTACCTCGATTTTAATCATCGATCTCTCCTTGTACCTCAGGTGGCGTATCTAGTAATTTGGAGGCCGTTTTGAGGTAAATCTGATGTTTTAATTGGCCAATTTTTTTTGTTTTGTTAACATCAGTCGGCAGAATAGTGTCGCGCGACGTTTTCTCATGGTTTCTGGAGAATCGCCACCAAAATCATCAGAAAATTTCAAATTTTTTGGTCTTCGTTGTTCTGTTTGAAGTCAATCATTAGCTTCATGAATGTTTTTGTAATGCACTGGGGTAGGCCTATTACAGTCCTGGATTTTGGGATTTTTACGACCCGGTTCTTGGGCACAACTATCGAATACAGGGCCACTCCATTCTATATCTGCGCATCCATGGCTGCGTGGATGCGCAGTCAGTTTTCTATGGCGCCCTCTATTGATTAAAATTTACTTCACGCCCACTCCGCATCTGCACATCCAGGCTATAGACATATAATAAAACCTTGACACGACATTTGCTATTGCGCCTGTGAGCAAAATGCTGCGTGTATAGAATAACGTATGGAATATGCGCGTAAATGGAAGCCTAGATGCACGACTTTCGTGCATCGCGTAATTAAGCCGCGTGGCGCAACCCGTTTTGCTCACAGAATTTACAACGTAAAAGCAGATAATGTCATGCCTAGGTTTTATGTCTATGAACCAGGCATCCAATAAAGCGCCCTCTATTGATTCAAATTAACTTCATGCCATCTGCGCATTTCTATAGCGTCCTCTATTGATAAAAATTTACTTAATGTCCACCCCGCATCTGTGCATCCGCGCATCCAGGCTTCCAATAACACGCCCTTTTTTGATTAAAATTTACTTCATGCCCACCCCTCATCCGCGCATCCAAGACGCAATGAGTGGGTAGGATGGCGTTGGTTTTAGATAAGGAAATAATTAGTAGTGGATCCTATCATGCCTATAGGGTTAATACAGTAAAGGGTCCTGGGGTAAATATAGCCCCATAAATGTGGCCTATTTACTGGACTGCCTCCGTAAACATAGGCCACACATCCACATGTACAAAAATCGTGTCGACTTTGCCAAATTTTGATTTTCACATTTAGGCTTAGTTTGTAGGGTTTTTTTGCTTTAGAAGCATACTCACCCTCTTTATAGGCTAATCAGAAAGTGCTGCCTTTTTCAGATGTTTATTTTTTGTGAAATTTCCAGATTCATTTTTACACGTTTGCGTATCAAAATTTCAACATGAAATTTCACAAAAATTAGACATCTGAAAAAGGCAGCACTTTCTGACTAGCCTATAAAGTGGGTGAGTATGCTTCTAAAGCAAAAAAATCCTACAAACTAAGCCTAAATGTGAAAATCAAAATTTGGCAAAGTCGACACGATTTTTGTACATGTGGACGTGTGGCCTATGTTTACGGAGGCAGTCCAGTAAATAGGCCACATTTATGGGGCTAGGGTAAATAAAGCCCCCTCTATTGATGATTCATGCTCATCCACCCGCATCCAAGACATCCCAAGCCATCTCACTGCACTCAGTATAAATACTATGTACTTGTCAATAATTCACTCTATAGCGCCGTCTATATTGATCACAATTTACTTCACGCTCACTCACTCTTTATACCGCCCTCTATTCTTTTTATACATCTACATTCATACCGTACATACATACCCGCGTACGTATGCATACGCATAGGAAGAGTCTCATACCTATGTTGCGCTTCGTACTCAAAAGAGTGCCATCTACTCAACGACCCCACTCCTCACATCACATCCAACTAGTAAAAACATGACCCAAAAAAAACTTTTCCGGCGTTGCCCTTCTTTCTAAAGTTGCTCCGATCTTTCATGTTCTTGTAACGTAGTTGTGACAAGCATTAGGCCTAGACATGCTAGAGCTAGAGTTACTCAAGCTCAAGGGCGGATCCAGAACACAATTTTTGGGGGGGGCCAAAAACCATTTTGGTCCCCCCAAAAAGTGGGTTAAAAAATTACGGCTTGGGGTTCGGGGCCCGCCTAAGGGCCCCGAACATTTTTTGGATTCTAGATGCTCTGTGGTGCGATCTGAGGCAATTTCTGACCACCTTAACCAATGTTTTTTGAGAAAAAGATGGTGGTGTACTCATTGCCTGCCTTTATTGCGATGTCACATAAACAAATTTTGGGGGGGGGGCCATGGCCCCCTTTGGCCCCCCCCCCCCCCCCCCCCCCGGATCCGCCCTTGCTCAAGCTAAACAAGTTAGACAATAATTTAATACCTTCAGCTTTGGGTGTCTCATTTTCGCATTTTGACTTCAGTTCACATGGTTCAGAAGTTCACTGTGGACTGTGATTGGCGTAGTGACCTATACAGTTGCTCTGGAGTATGGTACAGGTAGGTAGGGGCATCCGTCTGGCGGCCTAACGTTAGTCGTTAGTCATGCCACGGTCATGCTTTGCTAGTCATAAAACACGAGGCGTACATCCCTAGTTTACAAGAAGTTTTCATGGACTCCTATTTGAATCACACATGCACAACAACCGACACGCCGCCGCGTCGGCAGTGGGTGTCATCTTACACGTGGGGAAGTTCGGACACTAGTTATCGTTCTGTACGGTGACCGATGAAACACGATGTTAACATTGGGTCCTGGGGAAGGGCGCCCCTGACGTTGGATAGGTAAATGCGTGTAATCTACGCAGAACAGATTGAATACGCATGTACATGTACGTTGTTATAATTACGGCTAATTCCGGATATCTCACCATGTAGATTGCCCCTTGCGACGAAATCTCAACCTGATCTTTTTAAGCTCTCATTGATGTAAAAGTTTTTAGAATACTCCTGCTACCAAGGGCGGATCTGGCGGAGGGGGGGGGGGCAAACAGGGGCTGTCCCCCCCCCCACCAAAACAAACAAAATTACTGTAATCGCTGTTATTGGCCTTGGCATTTCTGCAACTTTATGATGCCGCGTGCTGGATCCATAGGTATCCAAAGATCTCATTACCTAACAGTAATATTATCCTCTGGACTCATCCTCCTTGGATCAGCAAGTCAAAGCTTGGCAATTGCCAAGTTGAGGACTAAAAAAATGATGAATTCAAGTAAGATGTCCCATACGTGGGTAAATTGTTTGGGGATTCACTCATGAAAGATATCGAGGATAATAAGAAGACAACCAAACCAACAGACAACGTCACATGACAATCGAGCTCCTCTAGCTCCTTCAAGCATGAGAGGTACACCCCTTACCAGTCCAAAGCCAGAGGGCCAAGATTTCGCATCAGTTTTCACAGCTCCAAGAACAAGGCACCTTAACACCCACAATCCAAATTTTGGGCGATCCAATGTCATTAAACATCCATCCTCGTCACAATAATCAAATTCCACTTCTAAAAAAAACTAATTGGTAATTTTACCCATCTCATTAGCACCCTGGCAGGTCCCCCCCCCCCCCCCCCCCATTGCTGGACACCTTCAGTTCTTTGTATACATCACGGTTGTCTATCACTCATGATCCTTGTTGGGTCCTTGATGCAGTTTCATGGTTACAAAATTGATATTGTAACCAGGTCAGGTTTTCACACCTACTTTACCCGTGCCTAGCCATGGTCAGGTCAGTCACACTACCATTGTATTGGTCAAGAGATACAGAAAATGCTGCATAAAAAGGAGCAATCACATCAGAACCTCTAGTTCATGGACAAATTATCTCCTTCCTCTTTTAGGTATACCTAAAAAGACAGGGGATCTTCGTGTCGTTATCAACCTGTGTCCGTTGAACAAGTATATTGCCTATCAACACTGCAATATGGAAAACATTTCACTAGTAAAAGATCTTCTATCACTGAAAGCTTGGCTGGCAACCATCGACCTAAACGATGCCACTTCAGGATTGATATTATTCGAGGGGAGTCTTCTACCAATTTACATGCGTCCCGTTTTGGCCTCTGCACTGCACCTCGCGCTTCGCCCAAGATTCTGAAAACGGTAGCTTCGACATTGAGAGAACATGGCATACGCTGCGTATATTTTTACTTCGATGACATCCTTATCCTTGAGTCTAATTCACACCGGGAAAGCCTAGCCACTAATAACACGAAGCCGACACTCGGGCTCGTAGCAAACTTGACCAAGTCGCGCACCAACAACAACACAGAACATGCAATTTCTAGGTTTTGTTTTGGATTCCAAAAGCCTCCCCTCTCCCTAAGTCGAGACAAGATCACCAGAATCATCACCCATTGCCAGCATTTCCTGACTGTGGAGAATTGAACAGTTCGAGAGCTATTTCTCGGCAGATTATCGGCAACAATACAGGCAGTATTTCCAGCTCCAATGTTTTATCAAAACGCCCAACAGGAAAAGATCTCTGTCCTCCACAGAAACAATTAACATCGAACAAGAAGTTCCTCTGTCATCATCACAAGCAAGACAGGAACTGGAGACATGGCTCACTGCCTCCAGGCCTGGAAGGGCCGAACAGTTCTGCAACAACCCCGGACGCCTGCACGCTGGGGCGCCTGCACCGGACAAAAGAAGATTGGGGCCGTTGGTCCTCTGCAGGAACAGGAAAAATATCAACTTTATGGAAGCTTAGCAATGATGCTCTCAAATCCTTGATTGTCAATCACCAAAATCTTCGCATCCACAAATGGACAGTGCAGTAGCCATTTGCTACGTCAACCACCGTAGAAAGGGGGAGGGGGCACGAGCCAAAGAGCTCGCTCAGCATGCCATTACCATCCGGAGTTGGTGCCTCAATAGAGAACTTCTATCAGCAGACAACATTGCAGACTCAGTAAACATCACCCCGACAGTTTGTCGGGAATTCGCAACGACCAGACAGAGTGGCAGCTACAACCAGCAGTGTTCCACAGGGTCATGCAGAGACTGGACTTCACACCTTTGGTGAACCTGTCCGCAACTCGACTGAACACTCATACATAAATTAATGTCGTAGCAACCAGATAGTACGGCGTGGAAAAAAAGATATCCTTCTGATGAATTTGGAAGGACTAAAGGGTTGTGACTTTCCCCGTTTGCAATAATCTCCAAATGTATTTACAAGATCACGGAAGAAAAAGCAACTGTGCATGGTGATGATTGCTCCATTGTGGCAAGCACAACCGTGGTACCCAATCCTACCAAAGTGGGCAGTCACAAATCCGGTTCTCTTTCCCAGAAGATAAGATCTTCTTCGGCTCCCACACACCAAGCAACAGATACATCCACTGTCACACAGTCTACAATTTGTAACTGCTTGGAAACTACCACGAAAAAAATGTATAAACAGAAGGAGTTTCACGAGATGTGTCAAACACCATCCTGGCATCGAGGAGACATCAACCCAACAGCAGTATATGATTCCGCACGGAAAAGATGGGCTCACTGGTGTATTTCGAGGGATGTTGATCCAGTTCGATCATTTGTAGCTGACTGTTTATCATTTTTACAACTGATTAATGAAGGTTTACTTTAAAAAACACTAAATATACACCGTTTCTCCATTTCATCAGCTCACTTTGTTTGTGGGGGGTCTTCCTATAATAGGCCAACACCACCTGGTAAAACGCTTCTGCAAAGGTATTCTTGACCTAAGACCTCCACGTCCTCGTTACAATATTACTTGGGATGTCAGTATTGTGCTCAACTTCATCAAATCTTGGGCAGACAAGTGCCACCTAATGATCAAACAGCTGACTTAAAAATAATGTTAATTGCACTTGTCACGGCGAAATGCTCTTCCCTTACTTTTCTTGATAACAACAATGTCAAGATGTACTAATGGTCATTAAACATTATCTTCTGGCTGACCAAACCGTCCAAGAAAAAGTTTGTTTTAAAACCCTTTCATCATGTAACAGAAGTTCCATGCTTCTCGGGTAGCGGAAACCTTTGTATGAAGCCCGGGAAGGGACAGGGTGGAGGTTTTTTTTTGGAATTTGCTAATTCGTTCCCACAAATTACTAACTCGTTCGCACGAATTGCTAATTCATCGCACGAATTGCTAACTTGTTCGCACGAATTGCTATTTCGTTCCCACGAATTGCTATTTCGTTCCCACGAATTGCTAATTCGTTCCCACGAATTGCTATTTCGTTCCCACGAATTACCAACTCGTTCCCACGAATTACTAACGCGTTCCCGGATGCACGAGTTGGCAATTCGTTCCCACGAATTAGCAATTCGTGCGAACGAAATGGCAATTCGCGCGAACGAAATGGCAATTCGTGCGAACGAGTTAGCAATTCGTGCGAACGAGTTAGCAATTCGTGCGAACGAATTAGTAATTCGTGGGAACGAGTTAGCAATTCGTGCGAACGAATTAGCAAATTACCAAAAAAATTCCACCCTGTCCCTTCCCGGGCTTCATACCTTTGTGCTGCACGAGCCTTGGAAGAATATCTTGACGGAACCCACTTTCACAGCGGTACGTGAGGGCCAGTCCGAAATAAAACAACTTATTTTGTTTTGTCTCATCATACAAAACCATACAATCCAGTTGTTCCATCCACTATTTCCAGATGGCTCAAAGACATTATGCCCCAAGCTGGAATAAACACCACTCACTTTTAAGCACATTCAACCAGAAGTGCATCAGCTTCTACTACAGCAACAGCGGGTTTCTCAACCAGGGTCATCCTCAAAACAGCCCACAGGGTCTTCAGCCAGAACCACAGACAGCCTGGCCTGATACAGTTTGGTCTGGCAGTCTTGGCGTCGGCATTGTAATGAATTGAAGTCTATGAGTGGAACCGGAATTGGGGTAATGTAATTCCCCAATTTTGACAATGAAGGTTAGACCAACCTTTCCCTTTCATTTTTGTCGTTACCTGATGCAGGTTAAATCAATATTGCGTTTCTTGTCTCCATATTACATCCCCTCCCGACTCAGTGAAATGCCTCCGCCAACGAACCATAATACTCAACAATAACGGGGAGCATTGGACATTGCACTGAGTGCTACTATTGTGAAAGCTTTTGCGAAAGGCTTCAAAAGATTTATCAGATTGCGTCACAGGGGACAATCTACATGTTGAGCCTTTCCTTCATTGTCTAATATAATGATATTCCCTTTCAGTATACCTTTATGTAATCGGAGAATTGTTTTGTAAAACATCGGGTGTAAAATGCGAGTGGGATTTTCATTGATGAAAGAGAAAACAGTTACAGTCAGCTCATTAGCATACTGTACACTGTCAGTTCTTCTTAAATGTTATATATCTGCATAATTTACCACAAAGAACCAAGTTTAGTGGCTTTGCACAACTAAGTTATCACGTTGAGTATGCAGTAAATCTGCCTTTTACCTGCCCAACGCTAGGGGCGCCCTTCCCGTCATGACCTATGAGCAAGTACTTCATGTTTCACTTTTTCAGCGGACTTTCCGATCACCCCTGTACACGATCTTACAGCGCAATGAGCGCATCCACACAACTTTTACAAAGACCAGAAACTTTCAACAGCGCCACTAATTGACCAAAATAATGTGCGTACAAAAACTTTTATACACTCTGCGATACTTTATTATTTGGCCGTATTTAAACAGGATCAAACATGTCAAAGGTATACCAACCAAATTTAA